AGGGGGGGGTAAATGAATAAAATAATAATATATAAAATGTGGGTGAGTGATAGGATGAGTGAGAGGGGAACGTAAGTAAAATGTGGACCAATACCTCCAGCGCAGGAATCGTCAGTAAAAACATGGCCTAGAAACATGTGTTAGTGAGCCCCAACACCACTCCTTGGGCACCAAGAAGAAAATGTCCTCTGACAGAGCAAAGATAATGAGTCAGACAAAGCCGATAAAATACCTAAACAACATGGCTGCTGAAAACAATGAGCCAACAACGATGAATTTGGCTATTACTCCAACAGCAAAACAAATCCTTAAACTCTTTCTCAGCGCTCATAAGAACTTGACTTCGAGGTACCCGCACTTGCAGTAGAAAAAGCGACCGGTAGCACGCAGTCAGTAGAGATATTATTGATCAACTGGGACTGTCAAGCCAACAGGACGGCCCCCGTGTCACGGGATCAATCGCGGAACACTGGGCATTCGCTAATCCTCCTTCAGAGTAACCCAGGAATAAATGCTGCAGCAGCTGAGAACTACGACGCCTGTGCCACGGGCCCTGTTTTGTTTACTGGAACTGTAGAGCACTTAAGACTTAGGAGTACGTACGGAAGGCATTAACCTGTTAAGGTTATGATCTGAATACAGTGCGCAAAAATATGCCAATTCTTCTGTATGTAATAACGACTTACAGAAATAGCACTTGCTGGGAAGCTATAGACAAATTATGAGCTAAAACTTACTGAATATACACAAATAGATGCCAGGAATCGCCTGTCATGTTGGATACCTTCCATATGCGGAATACTCGTATAAAAAGGCACCAGTGGCTATAGATGGCTTCCATCCATTCACCCCAGAATACTGGTCTTTTTTTTCATACGTATATTAGCTTTATAGGTTTAATTAATTTCTTTTCTAACTGACTTAACGAGTCATATTGCGTCCTTTGGGATGAGTATGAACAACTTTATAACTATAATCCGTAGGCCTATTAGCCCAATCAAGCCGCAATCTATAATAAAATTCTTCAATATGTTATACACACAAGAACTACAACCCATTTCTACAAAACAACCAATATACAAGAGTTCGAGTGTAGAAGGGGGACATTCTGATCATTAGTAAAACAAAAACAAAAAAACCAACAAAACAACGAAAACAAAAACAAAACAAAAAACCCCATAAAAACCGCGAAGAAATATTTATTGCCCTCTTTATGAATCCATAACTTAAAGGGGAAAAACAATCGTCAATAGCGTTACGAACATTCCCCCACGAGAACTTCGAGTCTGTCGCAGAAGTCTTGGAATTTTTCAGTTGTACAATGTTACTATGTTACTAATTCATTGCTACGTTTTTGAAGGTATTATTTCACGGCTGTGGAATTCTTGACTTTTTTTTTCAAATTCTCAATAACTTGTAGATACTTTCTCATTCTCATACTCTTGTAGAGCACACGTGTGTGTGTGTGTGTGTGTGTGTGTGTGTGTGTGTGTGTGTGTGTGTGTGTGTTGGGGGGTGGTATTGTTAAACAGACGCTTTCTTTAAAAAAAAGAGTTTTTAACAGTGATAAATGTCATACCCATGATATTCAAGAATCTTGATAGTAATTTAACCGACGAAATTCGAACGTTCTAAAAAGGATACGCAAATTTCTTAGGCTTGTTGCAGTTACAGAAAACTGTTTAGTAGGCGCGAGAGCTTCAGAACTGCGGGTGGGCTTTGGATATCAGAGAGCCTGAACTGCTAAGAAAACGTGACGTAGCCTATTGTTTGATGAACACTGTAGCAACACTATGCAATGGAGGCCGAAAGGGGAGGGGGAGGGGAGA